GTTGATAGTTCAAAACTTACTCTTGATTTCTTTTCTGTTCCACGTTGCAAAGGTGATATCGGTGCGTAAATGTTTATAGGGACGGCGGTTGTTGCAGTATTAATATTAGGTGTATTATTAACGATGTTTTTCTTAATTTTACAACAAAACATGTGAATACATAATTTTGACAGTCCTATCTTATTGAGCAGATACAAGCATATGAGTCCAATGGATATATATCGTATTATCTGCAACGTAGTGAGGCCCCAAGTTTTAATTCGTGTCATTCTGTGCGAAAAAGTTAATTGATTGGCTTTATTTTCTATTTGATTCAGGGTATTAGTATAATCGTTTAGATTGCTCATTACTTCAGGAGTTTTTTCTAAAGTGTCAAGCATTAAGGATAAGTCTACATTACTAGTTATATTTATAATTTTGGTCTTAATATTATAAAAAACGCTCTTGGGGTTACCACTGATTCTCATATGGTCGTCTCCATACAATATGTCTACAGTTACTTTAGTTTTTAACAGAGCGGGTTGCTTCAGTTTAACAATTTGATGTCCTTCTTTAGAGAATATATTGAGTTCTATTGGTTTTTCTGGTATAGCTATGTAGTGATTTTCGCTCTTGAGTGGTATAAAAGTTATTTCTACGATCTTATAGACCGCGAATTTACAGAATCTCATGGTATTGTCTACACTAATTATTTCAGATGCGCAATCGTGTTTTGAACGTCTATCATTTATAGGTTGAGTTTGTTTACAAATATAAAATTCGTGTTTGATTCGACATTGCTTGTCCAAATACATCTGATCTACATTCATATAAGTTAATCCTGAAGTGAAAAATATTGGATGTTCGACTAATGGGGCGAGAAATGCTCCGTTCTTTTGAGTCGGTATGGGGTATACCTGTTCTATTTCCCATTCTGAGTCAATTATCATTGGAATTGAAATTTTAAAGAAGATCTTTTCATTTTGGACAAACAGTGTGAGTGTAGAGACGTCTAAAATGTTTTGGAAATTATTTTCTTCTGGTAAAAATTTTTTATTCATAATCTGCCTTTCTAAAGCTTTAGCGTATTGTTCTAAGAAAGTGTGATGATCCATGATCTGGGGGCTAACAATTCCTTGTTTTCCTAGTAAAACCAAATTGAGTATTTCATCGAGTTGAAAATGTAGATCCGACAAAGCACTTTCCATAGAAATAATCTTAATTACTAGAAGCTCCTGCTTCTTTACTGCGTTTACTTTTTCAAATTGTTTTACACTGTCAATGTTTAAGATTTTCCTAATTAGAGCAGTTTGGTTAGCTACAATGGTTTTTAATTCATTTCCTTCACTTAATAGTTTGTCAATATTCTGGTTTATTAATTGTAAATCGTCAGAATCTAAAGTTCCGAAAAGTGTTTTGCTAATTGAGCCTATAGCGTTTATCAATCCTCTCTTAACTCTAGAACGAGTTAATAATTTCAAATGTGTTCCTAGTGTTTTGACATTATTAAATTTGTTAGTTAAGGAAAGTATCTCTGGTTCTATTTGACATGAGGGGGTACAATGTTTTTGGGTCTCTGTTATATGTTCTCCTAATGTATCGATGTGATCAAATATGTCGTTTACATCTATTCCTATAGTTTTTGGTGCTGAGAAAATGTAGATATAATGATTCAATAGAGCATC